AAGGATGAAGATAATACGGCTTCGTCAACCGTTTCCGCCGGAGCGGATTGGGCCGACATTGCCGACAAGGGACCGCTAGATCCGTCTCCCCATCGCTTGCGCCTTCCCACTTCAGGGAGTGGTGAGCGCGAGCGCGAGCGAGCACGGGATTGGCCGGTTAGTAAAATGCTATTATTGCGCGATGCCTTCGCGGAGGCATTTTTTTCGTCTTACGCGGCGACGGAGACGGCGAACGGGGTGAAGTCAGTGCACTCTGACTCGTAAAAGCTTTAATAGCGTCCGGAAAACGCTCTTTTAAAAATGACAATATTTTATTTAGATCGGGCGGTTGAACCTCGGACGCCATCCTGTATGCGGGAAGCAATACAGTTTGGCGGCGAGTGTGTACCTACGTCTAACGTGTGAGTACCTAAGCTGTGGTTTGCCCTAATATGTATGTGTCTCCGCTGGTGATAGCGGAGGTGAGGTTTGTCACAGACCTAACCAGCCCGCAGGAGTTTGGGTAAATAGAGGCCCCTGCGGATGTGACAGGACCCGTCCAACAGTGGACCTGATTGAAGCCGGTTTCAAGAGAGTAGTTGGCGTGCCTACTCCTAATAAGTGCCTACTAAGAGGCCCGGCTGCGCACAGGACTGGAGGAAGCGGAGGGGCTGATTCGCGCCTTGAAAAAGGCACGGTTATCACCCCGGACAAAACACCCGCACAAGGCGTTAACCGTTCGATAACCGTTTGGCACCGTTAGGTCTATCGGACGGCCGCAGGTAAACCCGCGCTCATAAATTGCAGCCTTCAAACGCGATGTCCAATCACCGAGACGCGAAGCGACCAATGAGAGGGCAGCGGGCAGCAAGGCAGCAGTCGGACAGCGCGTCGCACTGTACAGCGGCAGCGGCGATGACTCACAGCGAGTGAGCGAGATGGCAGTAGGATGCGCTTGGCAGGAGCAGACGTCCGCACAGGTCGGCAGTCGATCGAAGAGTGGATTTTGTGATATTTATTTACAAAACTGTGTACAATTATACTTAAAAATTATCCTACACTTACAACTAATATTGACATGTGGTGCCAAGATGCGGAGCGTTGGTTGGTTGCGCAGGTACCAGGGTAGGCGATAAAAATGCGGCGCGGCAAAAAGTTGGCCTTTTTCTGCACGCAGCCGTCGAAGCGTACGAACGTGTTCTTCTCAGAACACTTCGATATCGTAACCTTGCGATAACGCTAATAACTGTCCTTTTCAGGACAAATTATCGTATCACGACTAAACGTCTACAACTGTCCTTTTCAGGACATATTATTCTTGTTTCACGACGAAAACGTCTAACAACTGTCCTTGTCAGGACATATTACCGTGTCTTACGACACGATGAAACTGTTCTTTTCAGAACACACGACCGTATCTATTCTGATGTGTTCTTGTCAGAGCACATCACTGTTTCATTACGACACGTTAATCAATCACCTACAGGATTCCCCCTCTAGCGAAGCGTACCGGCAGGCGTATAACGCGGCCTCGGCGAGTTGTCCTTGTAGGTATTGAGTTGTTCCCAATGTCTTGTTGTTTCAGGTCGTTGTCATTTTGATGTTTCAGGTTGTTATCGTTTTGATGTTTCAGGTTGTTGTCGTTTTGATGTTTCAGGCTGTTATCGTTTTGATTTTTCAGGCTATTTGATGGTTTATGTAGTTCGCTCGCACTTGATGTGATTTGCTTGTAGCAGGTACTCGGTATTGTATCAGTGGGCACATCTGGTTCGGCGATAGTGTAGGCGGGTTTGAGTCTGTCAATAGAGATGTTTGTTTCACGGTTAGGTAACTGCAGAGTGAATATCTTGCTGTCTCGTTTCAGTACGCGATAGGGTCCGTCGTAGGGTGCTTGTAACGGCTTCTTTACGGCGTCTATGCGTACAAATACGTATTCACATGTCTGCAGATCGCGTGTATGAATATAGGTTTTGTGTTGCCGTGTGGTTGGTTAGGCATTGGTTGCAAGTTACGTATTGCGTCGCGCAGCTGATCGATGTAGGCAGAGTCCATAATGACGTCATCGCGGTCGTTGATAAGAAATCACCGGGTAAGCGTTGTTGCATCCGTAGGTAAGTTGGCGGCGCTTACGCCGGTGTCACTTCGCATGGCGGCGCGTAATCCGAGTAGGACGGTTGGTAACTCGTTGATCCAGCTTCTTGCGGTCTGTAGTCTTGCCTTTAATGCGGCCTTAAGGACACGGTGCCATCTTTCGATGATACCGTTACACTGTGCATGGTATGATGTTGTACGCGTTTTTTCAATTCCGAGTAAGCGAGAAAGAGATGCAAATACTCTGCATTCGAATTGGCGTCCTTGGTCCGTTGTTATTGTAGCAGGGCAACCGAAACGGGAAATCCAACCTTCGTATAATGCTTTGGCGACGTCTTCAGCTGTTATTTCGCATAATGGGTATGCTTCGGGCCATCTCGTCGCTCTGTCGATAATTGTCACAAGGTATCGATGACCGGTGGCCGCGGTTGGTAGCGGACCAACGATATCGATGTGAACGTGTTCGAATCGTTCGGTTGGTGAAAAAATTGATAACGGACTTGTTGTGTGGCGTTGTATTTTAGCGCGCTGACACTGTAGGGCATACTTTTGCCCACTTGCCGACATCTGCGTTCATTGAGGGCCAAAAGTATCGTTGCGTAATTAATTTCCTCGTGGTATTTATTCCAGGGTGGCTAACGTTATGTACTGCGTCGAATGCGGCACGTCGGTATTCTTCAGGTAGGTACGGACGTATGAATGAGGTCGAAGTTTCGCAGAGTAATTTGATGTTTGACGCGGGCAGGTTTACTTCCTTGAAAGATAAGTTGCTCTGTAAACCGAGTGTTTTAATGGTATCGCTGTCGCGCTCTTGAGCTATTGCAAGTTGATTGTAGTCGATCGGCGATGGACATGTGATTGCGTCGATGCGTGATAATGCGTCTGCGGCTGCATTTTGAGACCCACTGACGTGACGTTATCAGTGGTAAATTCGCTGATATAAAGTAGCTGTCGGGTGCGTCTCGGTGATTCGCTGTTTGTATTTGATTTGGTGTAAGCGAAAGTTAGCGGCTTGTGGTCCGTGAATATTATAATTTCTCGCCCCTCGAACATTTTGCGAAAATGTTTGACAGCCATGTAGATGGCGAGTAGCTCTCGATCGTAAGTACTGTAGCGAGTCTGTGCGTCGCTGAATTTCTTCGAAAAATAGCCGAGTGGTTGCCACGAGTCGTTGATAAACTGGTTGAGTGCGGCACCAGCTGTTTTGTCACTCGCGTCGCTGAATATAGCAAGCGTCGCATGGTGAGACGGATGAGCGAGTAAAGCGGCGTTTTTTATGCTCTCTTTACATGCTTCATAAGCTTGCGTCGATTCAGCGGTCCATTCGATCTTAGTTTTGTCACGCTTCTTGATGTTGTGCAGGTAAGTATTTAGCGGCGCTTGTATGGTGGCGGCATCTTTGATATTTTCGCGGTAAAAGTTGATCATACCGAGAAAACGTCGCAGTTCCTCTACGGTTTGTGGCTTTGGAAAATCTGTGATAGCCTGTACCTTCTCTTGGGGTGGCTGTATTCCCTTCCGCCGTGACTTGATGACCGAGGAATTTGACAGTTGGCTGACCGAAAACACATTTTGATGGTGCTTTCGGGAAATTTATCCTTGTTAAGCTGCTTCATTTGCCTCATCAGCTGGCTGGGTTTCTGGTCTCCGAGCCTCGACTTGCGACAGTAGCTTCTTCGTTTGTGCGCTGTTAGACTCTTCGTATAGCGATATTAAACGGTCTTTAATTGCGTTGTAGTAATCTGCTTTCGGCGGCGAGCAAATGAGGTCACGATGTTTTGAATGTCTTGCTTTTCAAGCTGTGCGATGACCATCTGGGCGAGCTGGGCCCTGGCTTCGTTTTTAGATCGGCGGTTGCTGCTTCGAAACTGCAGAACCAGAGGAGCGGCTGGTCACGCCAGAATGGTGCACCGCGACAGTGAAATACCGGAGACTTCTTGGCCTCGATGGTGTTGATGAAGTTTGACGCTCTGCACCGGAATTTTCTGTTGTCGACATCTTCAATGTTCTTGGTGTTCTTCTCGGGGTTGTTCTTCTCGGGGTTGTTCTTCACGGGGTCACCACTTTAGGGATGTTGCTTGAGGGTTGATTGCTTCAGAATTATTTGGTCGATGTTAAAATAAAACTCCCTAATTACTTGTAGAGAAGAGGTGAAGATGGAATAATGAATGATATTTATTTACAAAACTGTGTACAATTATACTTAAAAATTATCCTACACTTACAACTAATATTGACATGTGGTGCCAAGATGCGGAGCGTTGGTTGGTTGCGCAGGTACCAGGGTAGGCGATAAAAATGCGGCGCGGCAAAAAGTTGGCCTTTTTCTGCACGCAGCCGTCGAAGCGTACGAACGTGTTCTTCTTAGAACACTTCGATATCGTAACCTTGCGATAACGCTAATAACTGTCCTTTTCAGGACAAATTATCGTATCACGACTAAACGTCTACAACTGTCCTTTTCAGGACATATTATTCTTGTTTCACGACGAAAACGTCTAACAACTGTCCTTGTCAGGACATATTACCGTGTCTTACGACACGATGAAACTGTTCTTTTCAGAACACACGACCGTATCTATTCTGATGTGTTCTTGTCAGAGCACATCACTGTTTCATTACGACACGTTAATCAATCACCTACATTACTATTCATGGAAATTAACAAAGATCTTTAAATTATAAAAAAACCTAAATCGTTTTCTAAATTTCTATATAACTATTTATAACTTAAAAACAACCAATAACTTTAAACTTAAAAAAGTTTGCAGGGAAGTAAATTACAGAAGCACAAATAGAAAACACCAATGTGAGTTAGTATGTGATGAGTTAAAAGAAATTCTCAGCTCAGTAGTACCCTTATAAAACTTTTTCTCCAAACTAAATTCGTTTAGAAGTGTGGATCTTGCTTATTAACAAAGGTTATCAAAATGGCTGATGGAAAACATTTAATAAAAGAGTGGCTTAGTGAATATACTTCATTACAAGAACACGAAATAAAAAGTTTTGCTGCAGAACATGAACATAATCATGAAATTGCAACAGCTATATTCAATTTATTATATAATGAAAATCATACAGAAAATCCAACATTGAGTCAAGATGTATGTGAAGAGGTAAAATAAACTTTTCAATAAATAATTAAAAATTATAGGTTTAATACAAAGAAATATTCAAATATTTTTTAAGTTAATTTATGTAACTACATTAACTTTGCAGATGCTAGAAAACGTCTGTATGCAGTTGTTCAGTTTCTACAGATCCAAAGAGACAGAATTGCAAAGATTTACATTACAATTTGTTCCAATCTTTATTTATATATATCTAAGCTCTGTTGCTGTAGGTAATACCAAATCTATAAGATGTATAGAAACATTACTTATAGGTATGTTATAAACAATATAGTAAAAAATCCATTAAACTTACCTTGTTAATTCTTAAAACATTTTTCAAAGGTCTATACAATTTTGAAGTGGTAGATGAAAATGGAAAGCCCAAAGTTGTCTCCTTCAGACTGCCCTCTTTAGCACAAGCCTCCATCTATCATGAGGTAAAATTTTCTTATCTATCTTATTATTGAATTTGTAAATTAATTTTCATAAATATATGTTTAGTCTGACACGTCTTTAACAAAAGTTTGTATCATTGATTGTTTCATTGATTTCTGTTTTTTTATTGCAGCCCCTAAGCTTAGGCTCTCAATTTCTAACTGAAAGTGCCTTACGGAGATGGGAAGAATGTAACACAAAACTTGTAAGTTGGGGACCTTTATCTCAAGTAGAAATACTCAACGCTCAAAATCGATTAAAAGTGATGGCTGCACTTTTATTTATTTATAACAGACATCTTAGTTTGTTGACTAAACTTGCTTTGAGATATTTTTGCATTTCAGCATCCAGGTAATTTATATATATTTCTAATCTATTATTATTATCTTGGTACATACTTGATTATTTTATGTAACTTTTATAAATTTATAGAATAGTCACACAAGGCTTTAATCACAAAACTGGACCAACCAAAACTAAGTCCATCCAAAGGATTCCTGTATCATCCAATTTCCTTTTAGAAATGATTGAGGGTGCATATTTTGCTATGTTTAATGAATTCTACACATTAGCTCTACAAGCAGTTCAAGATATAGATGAAAGAGCTCAGTATGAACTTCTTCCAGATGTTATGCTTGTTACAAGTGCGGTTATAAATTCACTAAATAGTAATCCTTCAGGTGTGTATTAAAAAACATCTGAAATCATATTTATTAAAAGTAAAAAATACATTTACTGATATATTTAATTTTATTTCCAGGACAACCTTGCGATGGTCCAATGGGCATCAGTGTAGCTTTATCACCAGCAACAACCACAGTTACTATGTCAAAATCTATGATAACAAATGCCTCCTTTCGGACTAAAAAACTTCCAGGTAGTGTCTTTTAAGTAAAAAAATTGGCTTTAAATCAAATAAATTTATGCTTTTATTCCATTTACAGATTCTAAACTATAACTAGTAAATTGTAAATTCTCCAATCAATTCTCTATTTGCATGTTGTTATATTTGAAGGTTGGTTAAAATATTTATTAATAGGCATAGGTACTACAAGCATAGACTAAGTACTTATATTTTATTCATTTTGGTAATACTAAAGCTTAGTGTCACTTTAAGAAAATATTATTCTACTAGTAAAAGTATGTTTTACAGATGACATTCCAATACAAGCTGGCCAGGTGGTACCTACAGATTCAACAGATATACTGACATCAATAACAGAAGAAGGGGAGGTAGAAAATGCAGCACCAATGCAAAGAGGAGCTCAAGTAAGAAACTCTAAGCCGAAATTAAGTGCATTTCCAGTTTTGGGTAAGAAAACAAAAGACCCCAAAGAAAAGAATACAAATACAAGTGATAAAAAAAGTAATATCAAGGAAGCTTCAAAAGGAATATGGAACTCTATAAGTGGGGGTGGCGACATGGTGGATGCTCAACAAAAGTCAGGCAGTTCAGATATTGATGGAAACGGCAGTCAAAAAGATGAAATATCCATGACTTCTGTTCAAATCAGCACTGAGACATCTGATTCACGTTCACAAGTAACTACTGATTCTTTGGATATAGAAACAGGATCACGATTTTCTGCAATGCAAGTCAGCTCTGTTTAAGTCATTGTTGACTAGTGTTAATTATATAGGCATAAATAATGTTTCACACTTAGATGTAGAATGATTAAAATTTCAATTAAATGTTGGATGGTATAAAAACATTTTCTTGAGATCTTGTATTTATGTCATAATATTTTCTTTTCAGTAGTAAAATGGTGTTGTGCTTAAGAATAAGAAATTATGTGAAATAAATGATGAAAAGGCTGTCAATTTTATTTTCCATATTACTGCCTTATTAATTTTAAAAAGTAAATAATAAGAAATATCTTAGGTTTTATATATTTAAAACTGTGAGGTAGTGACCTCAGGGTTGAGTACATTTGCACACATTTGAACCTGCTATCCAACAATTATTATATTTTTCTTTCAAACTGCTATAATATTAATTCTTATGTTCATTCTGGTCAGGTTATGTTATTAATAATAATTGTTTTTTTTTGATAAGGCACCAAATATAACTAAAAAATAAATATCTAATATTTAACAATAAATTATACATATATTATCGTTTTAGTTCAGGGGCCGAATCTAAGAGGGCGTATGATATTAATTAAGCTACATTTTTTGTTGAGAGTGGCTTCTATATTCCCTAATCTGTGATACCCTGTATATCATTATTTAACTCTGATTTAATCATTTAAACGAAAAAAGATTCGATCCGCCCAACAGTACGTAATAATTTTGTTCAAGTAATAAAATGTTACGAAAAGGATTTGCCACCTTACTTGAGAAGAAATTTTTAGTGATATCGGCTCAATGTGAGTACAATTAATTTATTTTTTCCTAAATAAATAATTAAATATCTACCACACAATTATCAAAAAAATATTTTTTTATAAGTCAAAAGGTATCTATTTGATATGGTTCTGCTGAGTTCAATTCCATTAAAAATTTTGGCATTGCTTATGTTATTGATCTTCTTTGGTTTTATTGGTTGGCCTTAGTACCGCTCTAAAAGCAAAGAATATCACAACCCCAGCCCTAAGTATAAATCCCAAAACAATAAATATAAAATACCAGCATAAATGTAAAGGCTTTATTGACAATAAGGTAATTATTTACCACTATTTTCTCATTTTTCAAAAGTTATGCATAATTTTGATTGAAATATTTTATTATATTTTGATGGGTTATATCTAATAATTAACATTATTTACTATTCTTTTAAAAATAATTCATTCCATGTCTGACTATAAGTCACTCCTTTAAACCAGTAGTTTTTCTAGATTCTAGAAAGTTGAGCATCTCTTCTCCTCTTGAACCTGAAGGACCAACAATCAAAACAACAGTCCCTGGACCCAAAAGCAAGGAGTTGCTAAAAGAACTTTCAGCTTTACAGGTATAAGTTTATTAATTTCTTTGCTAAGACGAAAACTGTAAGATCTAGCATAAAATATTTATTTCTACCCTTTGAGCTTGACTCACTATGACAACAGTTAATTATTTCCGAAGCTTATAGACACGATCTTAATCAATATCAAAATAAATACGAAATTAATCTCAAGTAATTAATTTTGAACAAAATTGCCATTGATTTTCATTAATACCTTATAAGATATTATAGTTTTAACTCTGCAACAAAGTCAAGTACCTACCATCTGCACATTTATAATGTTAATGGGTCTTGACGTGCGTGAAACAGCTACCTAGTTAAAAATAACATTCTTCTATGGTATTCGAATTTATTTATTAAAATATGAATGAAATATAAATAATAATGAGTTAATTGTGCTTAGGACTTAACATATTCCTACTGATTATTAACTTCTACTCTAAATCTTAGATTTATTTATTTGTGACGAGATTTTCTTAATAGGGAAATAAGTGATCGACCTTCTGTGCCTGACACAACTGTTGATTTTTAGGGCTTAGAACTGACGGTTTTCTCCAGCGTATGATCGAGGGTTAATTACGCACAGAAGAAGAAAAGTTCATAGCTGCAAAGCCAAAAACGCTAAGGCGTGAAAGGCCCACTCTCACTCACTCACACAGATCAAACATTGATTTTTTGACAGTGGTGCTTTGTAGGTTTTTGAACCCACGGAAGGGTTAACTTATTCTATGCAGACAAAAGGCATCATCGTACATCGATTCGTAATTAATACTTTATCAAAATTGAGTAATCCAGCAGCTCAGTAACCATAATGATGAAAATATTGAGTTTTAAAATGAAAATGTGTAGATTCAAATGATGTTTGTTTCAGCAAGCTGATTCTGTACAGCTATTTGCTGACTATGACAAGAGTATTGGAAACTACTTTGTTGATGCAGATGGTAATACATTTTTAGATGCCTTCACACAAATATCTTCTGTACCTCTTGGATACAATCATCCTGAGTTGCTGACAACATTTGATGATAAACATAACTTGGTAAGATATTTCATTGCTTTTGTTATGTATCTTGAAAAATTTAATACGTATTTTTGTCCTTCAACATTCTTCTTGTTTAATTAATTAAAGCAATTTTTGTAGAGAGAGCTAATAAACAGGCCAGCTCTTGGTGTATTCCCAGGACAAAATTGGCCTGATCGATTAAAAAATGTATTGATGTCAGTGGCGCCTAACGGTGTCAATGGAATTGCTACCATGATGTGTGGATCGTGTTCTAATGAGAATGCTTATAAGACCGTCATGATGTGGTACCGTAACAAGCAACGAGGTGGTAATGTTGATTTTACACCCGAAGAGCTCGCGACTTGCATGCTTAATCAACAACCAGGTTCTCCAAATTTATCCATATTGTCCTTTAAGGTAAGGCGGCTTGTTATATTTTATATTGTCTAACTAGAAATCTCAGTCTTTTTATTTAGTTACCTCAATATATTTAATTTGAATGCGGCTTCTCTAATTCTTACCATTAATGATAAATTGACGGACGTAAAGTAATTCGTCTCTGCCCCACGAAAATAAGCAGCTTTTGATATTCAAATGTAAGATGATATATTTAATCCCTCGTGTTATGCGCTCGTGAAAATTTTATTAATTGAAAAGAAAAAAGTAATCCTACTTTTCATTATTACCTAGCTATTAGTACAAAGGACCGTTGAACATATCTTTACTAACCCATACAGTGTATATAGATATGTACAATAAGATACTATACATAAGCATTTACTATAAAATATCAATTTCAAAAGCTTCAAAAATAAATACAAAGATATACCGTTTTCAATAAAAAACTACAATAATTAGATGGAGCGTTTGTCGAGGGCGTGAGAATCCACAAACGTGGCAGATGATTTATATATATTTTTGTAAACGTTCGATATTTTGCTATAATTTTAGGGAGGTTTCCATGGACGTACATTTGGTGCATTGTCCACAACGAGGTCAAAACCAATACATAAATTGGATTGTCCTGCATTTGATTGGCCTGTCGCTCCCTTTCCAAGATATAAATATCCCCTCGATCAACATGTATCTGAGAACCAACAGGAAGACGCCAAGTATGATAGATACTTAGTTTTATTATGAATAACATTTTTTTCTTTTGTTTTCTTTTTTTTTAACTTACTTATCTTTTTTATTTCTCTTTATTTCTTCTAGTCTTATTAAATGGTGATTATTTAAGAGGTGAAGGCGGAGTAAGAACTGGTAGGTGCTGGTTTATTTTTGTTGTAGACTAATTAATATTTTAAGTTTATGTTTGTTGTAGTGCCTACACATTGTTTAGGAGTCGTTCAAGTATTACACACTATAGCACTATAGGGGGTAGGGGGGTCTTTGATTTTCTTATTTACTTATTTTACACATATTTCCCATACATTGTCTATGTTTGAAAACGAAATTTATTGTATTTTCGAGGATTCCTACAAAAAAATTAATACGTTTATGTACTATTATTTTTGACAGCTTTGCTTACTTTTGCTGACAAGAGGGGGGATCTGCTTACGTAATACTTAAACGGCCCCTTAGAATATTTTCTCAATGTAAGATTTTTTCAGATGTTTAGAACAAGTAGCAGATGTTATTGAGAAGTATAATATAAATGGTAACCCTGTAGCTGGTATAATAGTGGAGCCCATCCAATCTGAAGGGGGTGATCATGAGGCATCTCCGGAATTCTTTCAAAAACTACAGAAGATATGCCAATCAGTATGAAATCTTTTCCTTTTAATAAACAACTTTATTAGATATTTGGAAACAAATAGGGTCAGCTAATATCTTCGAAATAAATGCTAAATTAAGCTATAACAATACGTCCTTCAGCAATGAAGAACGAGACTAATAAAAAAACCCAAATATACCCTACTCAGTTAAGATTTTGCTATGTTTTACTGTATTAAATTTAGCTTATTTTTTGAGTTTGAATTTTAATGAAATTTCTATTTTAATGGTCTTCTTTCTAAATAGAAAGGAGTTGCATTGATCATAGACGAAGTTCAAACTGGGTGTGGACCGACAGGCAAAATGTGGTGCTATGAACACTTTAACTTGCCCTCCCCGCCCGATGTCGTGACATTTAGTAAGAAAATGCTGACAGGTGGATTTTACTTTAACACTGAGTTCAGGTAAGTACCTCCTACACTTATTTGCATATGCAACCGAGGACACATAAACCATTTCTGATTTAATTTACCTTTTAAACAGTCGTATTCATGGCTCCTTGCCTTGAATTTAATTTCCTTGCATTTACTGACCCTTTGTATTTTATCAATGAAGGAATTTTTCGGTCAAAGGCTTTAAAAATAAATTCTCTGATTAAAGTTTTGGTTAAGTTAACGTTAGTAATATAAATATTTCAAGCCCATTAAAATAGCAATATGCCCTCCACTGATTTATTCAATTGCTACATCGTTATTGAGCTGTTATTGTGACTCCAAGCCAATTCACAAACATTATATGAATATAAATTATTGCATCCGTTATTTAACTCCTAGTTGTTTCGTACTGTACAAGTGATTTCGTATGTGAAAAACTAAGCTTATAGAAACTAAAAAAAATATATCCAAATAGTTTTTGCGTTAAGCGGTTAACTCAACTACTAATGGACGAGTTTTTAATTATCACCAATGAAACTGACTCAGAAATATATAGAATGACAAAGAAAAATTAAGACAACTCGGTCTGTAGATAAGTCTCCAGTGCCCACCCATATAATAGTTTTTTGTTTCTTTATTAGAACCTATCACCTCCGTGTACATGATACAAAGTTGGTAGATACATATTAGTATAACTATAATAGAACAATGTGAAAACGCACCATAAAGAAATTCATTTTCATCTCCTTGACGTAATCATGACAAATCTCGGTAAGACAAAGATAAAACGAAATCACCTCTGCTGTTATATAAGATTAGATGCTACAAAAATAACATTCCTATAAATAAATTAGTGTAGGTGAAAATATTTTAGTAATGACTCTTAATGCGTCATAGTATTTCCTCTTTAAAATTTATTACTAGCTGAGTGTGTGATGTCGTCTGGGTAAATAAAAGTATATGTATATATACCCTGCAAAAGGGTCCGTCTATCATCAATTTAAGATTTAATTATTTTAATCTTGAAAAATGCAAGAATTACTGTTATCAGTTATTCTTTATCTTGCGTTTGCGTGGATTCAGGAAAGCCTAATTAAAAAATCTCAGAGTACAGTTGGTGGGAAGCAATTTTAGCTTCGGCAAACAGATATCCTTATCACCTAGCAGTAAAAAATATACTTTACGATCTATTCTCATACCTACAAAATATAAAATAAAACTTGTTGGTGAGAGTAAGTCCACAATGTATACTTTTTTATATCTGTATAATTGACCTGTTTAATATTTTTAGACCACCTCAAGCCTACCGAGTATTCAACACATGGATGGGTGATCCAGGAAAACTTATCTTACTGGAGAGAGTATTAAAGGTGATAAAGTCTCAAAACTTACTAAATGTCGTTAATGAGAGTGGAAAGACTCTTAAAAATGGTCTACTTGAACTTGAGAAGGAATTTCCACACCTCATAAATAGCGTTAGAGGACGTGGTACATTTTTATCCTTCAATGCACCAACGACTGATTGCAGAGACAAAATTAATGCTGACTTAAAGAAAAACGGTACGTATACCTTTGTATATGTTCATTTCGAAATATATTAAATAATAAAGAAATTTGATAAGTTACACATTATTATAGCCCCGACAATCGGCACTCGAAGAATAATATTATATTTATTATAATTGCAGGTATTCTTAGCGGCACATGTGGAGAGATTGCCATAAGGTTACGCCCGGCACTTATTTTTCAACCAAAACACGCGGGCATATACTTGGATATACTGCGTAAAACTTTGAAAAATATCAACTAACTTTCTATTTAGTACGTTCAAAATCTAATGTATTATTAATCCAAAGTAAAACTAAAGGTTTAGGCAAAAGTAAAAAGTTTAAAGGTGCTTTTATATTTTCTACACCAACAATCATTGAGAAACCTAAAGTTCCCTACAAAAAATTGGCCAAAGTTAGTAGTAGATGGGTCGTAGTTTCGGACTTGATGCGCAAAGCGAAATTTTGCTGATAAAAATCTTGTAGAGTCCGTTATATAATTAGTTAACAAAATTATTTAATTCTGTATCTAAATATGTCAAATATGAGTAAGTATATTATTTTAGTCTAAATTCTATGGTGCCATTTAGCTATAATATTAACTCACCTTTGTCTTCCAATAATGTTAAATAAATAATGTTAAGATTATCTGTCTTTTATTAATCTATATAGGTACGTATATTTGAATTACAACGGTATTCGATATTTTGTCACTGCGAGTTGATTATTAAGGTGCGCTTACACGAGGGCAATAATTGCTCGGCGACATGAATGGACCGATCTGGAGCAATTAATGGAGCAATTTCAATAAATTGCAATAAATTATTTCGGCGATATTGCTTCTAATTGCTCCAGATATTTCATATCGCTCAATGTCGCACATACGAATTGACGAATATCCAATGGACTTGGAAATTCCTAGCAATTTTTCTATATGTCTCATTCGCACTTGTTTGTTTTGCGGCTTGCCGTCTTGCTTCCGCGGGGAGCTATTTTATTGCTATTATTCTAAATTAATTCAAAGTCTGTTCGTGACATTCTAGTAAAGTTTTTGAATAATATATCATCTTTACATAATGAAAATTTTGTCCTCTTTGCCAAAAACTATCGCACCCAGATACGCCTATTCCTTTTCTTTCTTTTTTGTTTTTGATTAATGATAAAAAAAGCGCTACAAGCCGCCGCAGCAAGAACAATGTCGTCCATAGCGAGCGAAAACTGAAATGCTCGTGTATGACAGTATTGCCTAGTTGATGAAGTTGCGCCATATCGCTCAATATTGTATTGCGCAGTATTGATGCTTGTTGCCGTTGCCGTAAATTACTTGATGTAGTCGTGACGTCATAATTGACGAGTATTGACTGGAATTGAGCAATTTTAGTTGCCCGTGTAAGCGCACCTTTAGCAGCTGAAATACAACTTACGGATACAGCCTGTTCTAACATTATGATTGTTCGAATATGTAACACACCAGAGCATATAAACGCTACGAGATTCAGTTTATAATTAAACTTATATTTTTTGCGAACTTAGAGGCTTGGAGTCCTGAAGCTATTTTTAACCGACTATAAAACCACCTTACAGTTCGACGAGATTGTTTTAGTATGCTCTGTGGATTGCACTAACAGAATATAAATTGAAACATTCTAGATCCATCTGTCATTAATGACTGATGTGAAATGTACCGTTCAATGTTTAGTTTACTTATGTCTTGTCTTGTCCGTTCGCATTTGGTAATTTATTGAAAGCTGAAACTTGATTGAAAATCTTTGATCCTTTCCTTGTGTTGTTATTTGAAGTTAATGGTAGTCTTTGTGTAATACTTTGAGTTTATTAAATGTATGTTAGTGCATGAATTAAGCCATCATTAACTCTATAAAGAACCCATTATTCGAAATTTACAAAGATACTTATTTTACACGAGTGATCAGTGAATAATACATTGTTGGTGGTGAATGGTGATACATACTACCTACATAGTGACATTTGAGAGGTTGGATTAGTAAAGTCGTTGAAATTTGTGTATCACTAGTAAATAGTAATCTGCTTAACACAACAAATGCAAAGGTATTTAAATATTACATAATATTCACTGTAAATTAAATGTTGAGACGACATAATTTACCAAACACAGATGTTTTCTGAGTATCGTCATGTTATCATTTTGATGAGCATCATACTTTGTGTAGGTGTGTTTTGTTATTTCTCTAGAATTACCTATTTCTCTTAGTTGTGTTAATTTAGTTCACTAGCTCTTGATTTTTATTAAATAGATATTTGAAACTAGAAAAGACTTATTGACATGTTCTTAACTATTTTGCATTATCTAGAAACTTTACCACTTGTGCCATTTGGTGCCTAGGCTTTTTCTACGAATTTATCATGTCGTTTATGCTAGATTCTAAATTAAAATAAAGTATTTATCCAAATAAATGTTTCATTATTAATGTGTCTATCTATATTATGATGTGTTTAAAAGAGATTTCTGTTATTCATCCTCATTACTTGTTCTAAAACTTTTTTATTTACACACTTCTAACTTCAAATGAGATTAAAAATAAAATCCTGTTTGTCTATTATTCATAATTGTCAATAAAAAAATTATCAACAAAATAGCTGTCATAAGTTAAGCATTATAAATGGGTATGTATAAAAAATAAAAAGAAACAGGGGTCAAAATTATTGAAGTTTTAAATTTTAAAATTACATTGCTTGGACCTACCTACATCTTTAATATTTAAATTTAAAAAAAATGCAATGTTATTCATGGATAAAGAATCTCATAAACTTAACCAAATAATGTAGACATACATGATAAAAAAAATTCAATGTAATGGAATTAATTATAACTGATGTCAAATTAGTAATTTTGTAATAATATATTTGATATTCATTTATTTTAGATCTACTTGAACACCCCTTGAGGGAAATTAGAAATGGTTGACTACTATAGAATACTTGGTGTGACTCGTACATCTTCAGACGCAGAGATAAAAAAGGCGTAAGTATCTTAATAATATACAAATAACATAAAAATTGTACAATTGAATTTTCAGTATTTCCGTCACATCTGATGTCTTTTCCCAGTCCTTCGGTCTACCATCTTTATAATTTATAGGTTGATGAAACCATGTAGCAACCTATAAACCTAACTTTAAGTGGCTATTACCAACTGCAGTTGCTTTTATTTTAAACTTATAGAAAACTCTTAGTTGTCATTCTTACCTGATTTACTATTTTTAAGTTAATCCATGGGTCATATACTATTCTACTGCTCTATGTTGAATAGAATTTAAAATATTGATGCATAACTGGTAGCTTAAACTTTGTTACAATTTTAGGTATCGGAAACTTGCCCTTAAATGGCACCCTGATAAGAATCCTGACAATGCAGATGAAGCTAATAGGAAATTCAAAGAGATATCTGAAGCTTATGAGGTTTTATCAGATGGTAAATGGTTTGACATTGAATTACAAATAATAATAGTAACATATTTTTCTACATTATGCGACATTTCAAATAATGGCTATTACTCATTTCTGACCTTTCAGATCTGAAATCAATTGTAATGATATTGTCCCAGAATAAGTAAGATTAAAACATTACAATCCTTTTGAGTGACTAAGCTCTTGCTCTCATTCTAACTTTAATTTGTTTTTGTTTATATGTTTTTAATGTAATATTTTAACCTTTATTATATCTTGGTGTCTGGATAATAAAAAACATTGTGAACCAAGTAAGCACTGTTTCCTGATTTAATAGAGTTTTTCAACGGCTATGAAACTTTAAAACTTAGAAAGTGTAAAGAAACTTTGTTGTTGGGTAGCTAACAAGCGGAAAGTGTATGATGCACGTGGGTCCAGTCACCATGGCCACAGATATCAGAGCAAGAATGGAGTTAATGGCCATCGGCACTTTAGCTTCAAGGGTTTTTTTGGAGACACACCTTTCCATCGGTTCTTTGGTAGATGACAATTTCTTGTAGGGTTTTTGCTTTAATTTGAATATTATCATAACCTAATGGCTTTTTGGATAAGTTGATATTTTTAAATATAATTGTTTATTAAAATAATAGTTAAAAAGTAATACAATACTAAAGATATATTTTGTGTTTGCATGTAATGATACTATTCAAACATATGTATCTAACCAACTTTATATATTTTACGCTGTTTAATAATTAATTAATATAAAACTGGACTATAATCTATATAGTTCAGTGTATTTTTTTTTAACATAAATACAGGAATCAGCCATTATCTTGTTTTACGCTTAATTAATGATCAGCTAGCATTTGAGTTTGTGTGGGATTTTTAACCATTCTCTACAAACTAATACTTATTGTGTACATATATAGTATGTTTCTTAGTATTTCTGTAAATAAGTTATATTGAGTCATAGACCATACAACTTAAAATAATTTAGAAACACATTTGTTGACTTATAAACCATACTCTATAATATTTGATACAATAATTTATTATTTATGTGCAATTAATATCACTAATGTTTTATATAATTATGAAGTGTTTTTTGTGTGTTCAACTTACAACTTTTGCTATAAATTAAGTCATTCTTATTACATTAAAACCGCGAATATGAGGATCAATACAGTGTTTGTGCTACCGGGTTTCCACTATTGTGTAGAATAGGAATGTTATTGTTCACATTACAAACAGACATTTTAGATTTCTTTTTACTTGCTTTTCACCCGCGTTAAGACCTGTGCACATCATAAATCCTTAGTTACTTAGCTGCGGAGTCATTTTAAAACTATGTCTCTCCTTAATTGAAATCAATTTATATCATGAGAAATTTTGTTCGAAATTAAAAACTTGTTGTTAATGACTACTTATATGGATAAGAATAATCATGTTTTTAAAAACAGGTTCGCAATAAAATCAATGTTTTAAAACAAATTTATTTTAATAAAAAAGAGAGTTTTTAAGTCAACCTGAAATGGTAGACATATAGGTACCGTCGTGGACTCTTTTTTAGAAGATTTAAATAGATATAATTCCGCCATATTGAATCCATTACATTTTCATAATAACTAATCCGCAGGCCGCAGCGCTTTCGAAACTCTTAAAAAGGAAAGTTTTTTTTTTGTTTCAAACATTTTACGCTTCGCTCCTATTAGCGGGAGCGTGATGTCAAATAGCTATATTAGCAAATAATTTAAAATTGTAGATTATTATACGGTGATAATTAAAAACTTCTGTTTGGTTGCAAGAGACATTTAACACACTCAGATATTTGATCATGTTATAGTAATAAGATACAGCTAACCATGCGTTGTAACTTGTAGACCTAGCTGCTTCTGCACTACTGAGTACAATGCCATGCAATAATATTCTATATTCCAAACAAAATGAATCTTTGAAATAGTTAATCTAGTTTAAAAGTCAATTTTAGTGCTAATATTTACTTAGAATATTTTTTTAACAGAAAGAAAACGACGTGTTTACGATCAGTATGGCAAAGAAGGTCTAAACAGCAGCCGCGGGCGCCGATCAACTACAGATGAAGATTATGACTTTGGATATCACAGCTTCCCGTTCACATTCCGCGATCCAGAGGAAGTTTTTAGAGAATTTTTTGGCGGATCTCCGTTTAGTGAACTTTTTGCAGGTATATTTTGAAAAGCTATAACGATACAATGGGTAAATTCCCAATCTACAAAATAGTGATCACCTTGCGAAATGCAAAATATGAGCCCAATGTCCCCTTGTCCCGAGACTTTACATATCTCCACTCTTAGAGCCTCAGCCAGCATTGGAGTACTGAGCGACTGAGTGACGTATCGAATAACTTCAGTTTCGCGATCCTTTAGATTTAGTCTCTAAGAAGCTTGGTGTGCTCAGTAAGGCGAGACGGTATTTCACTCAGAAAAGACAAATTCAACCCCACATGGAGTACTGTTCTCACCTCTGGATGGGAGCACTTCATTACCGGCTTCTTCCACTTGGTCGTATTCAACGAAGCGATTCGAATCGACCAGTCGCTTTCCGTCTTCTACCGCATTTACCATGAAGAGTATTTAGAGGAGTTGTTCAGATTAATATATGTAGTTAAGTTTTATCATCGGACGTCAAGGCATATTACGAAATTCCACCTAGATTTTTCTGTTCCATAACTGAGCATATTTTAAGGCAGTTTTTGCCGCCCCACTTTGTGCTAGTTAGGCCCACTGAAGTATTTTCAAATCAATTCGACTTAGTGTCCTTCAAGAAAAGAGCGTAGCAATTCTTAGTGTCTCCCAGGCCGGCAACACACTTGCGAGCTTTCCAGCAATGTCAGTGTCCATGAGACACATGGCCTTCTGCCAGCCCTGGCCCCTGTTCTATAAAAAAATCCTTTTGTGGTTCGGTAACACGTGTATATTAGCTGTGTTTTACTCTGGCTGATTTCCAGATAACAATACACCCAGAAATGTCCTTGCCTAATATATGTTATAGATAAATATTTGACACTAATGCTTCGTAATCTTTGTTTCAGATATAAATGGACACGGTAACCATAGACACGGACGTCGTAGTCACCATCCAAGCACATCCCTAACATCATCATTGTTCAATCCGTTTGGCTTCGGGATGCAAGGTCTGGATGATTTTTTCCAAGCCTCTAACGGGAACGCATTCACTTCTTTCTCGACATTCAATAGCTCGCTGGCGGGCCCTGGAAGTGCTAATATGAGAAGTACTACAACCACCACTCGCGTAGTCAATGGAAAGAAGATTACTACTAAAAAGTAAGTAATGATAATTATCATATGGGGTAGAAGAAAATATAACCACCATTTATAAAAATAATGAATTGATTTAATTTTTACGATTACAATATATACATAAAGAGTTAAGCACGGTTACCCAAAAATAAGTCACAAAGCGAACTGACGTACTTCCATGTTATCTGAGCGCACGCACACATACACGGGGAACGTACAAGACGAGTCTTTGTGGTGCGAGTGTCGATAAATGATGTCGATCAAGTTCCAGTGAAATTAAATATGGGACTGTATTTTTAAATAAAACATATGTGAAATTACATAATATGTATTATTTAAGCGGCACAAAACTTATAACATAAAAAATAAGTAAGAACTTTATTACAGGAGCCTGTAAATACCCAATTCCATGTAATATGCAATATAAATATTAAATTACAGTTTAAATGTAAAATATAGAAATAACTAATCAATTTCAATTCATTAAAAGTATTGTTACATTAAAAGAAATTATTATGCAATAAATTGATTTATGAAAGTTACTTTAAAGTTAGATAAAACTACTCTTCTATTCCCACTTTCACCAGTTATAAGCAATTACAACGATTGTATAATTGATACACCTGGTCAAAGACTTGATATATTCCAAGATATACAGATTAATTTTCATTTCATTCTATTTTGGGCTTAAATGTTAATTTTTTTTTGGCAAGAAGGGAAATTAGTTGCAAAGCGACCAGAGATTCAGTTGCTACACATTGACCTATATAATGCAAGATTCCATTGTTCATATGTGATATTTAACAGAATTGAGACAAGAATTCATAGAAATATAAAGAATATTGCTAACCTATATTTTTTTTTTAAATGACATGTTTTAAAAATTTTCAGAGTAATGGAGAATGGTCGGGAAACTGTGATGTCTTACGAGAATGGGGTCCTAAAATCAAAGACTGTCAATGGTGTACCTCAATCACTAACATACAGTTAATTTAATTGTTTTAACCATTACTTAACCAGATCCAAATACCTACCATACTCGATTGAGAGATAAACTGTTCAAACATTTATCTTAATTACACTATTACTTAATAATTTCCAATTTGACATATTGAGAAACAAAAATATCTAAAATTTAAAATAACTGTATTTTGCTCATGTTAAGTTCACTATGTTTAGTCACACTTTTTTGATCTCGACTCATGGATGAGAATTTTACCTTGGCTGCGAATTTAAACCTTTTGGTGTTGTAGGTAACAATAATATTAAGTAATCCACACGATGTTCTTAAGAGCTGTGTTGTAATTACAAAAACGTGATGAGCATTAACATTGTATCTAGAAAATGGTTTTGTACCTAGTTGAGTTATTTATTTTTGGTTTGGCTTTATATAAGATTGTAACCTCCAAAACCAAGCTTTATGTAGTAATTTGATTATACATAATCAAAAATTAACATTTAGAATGTCTATAAACTAAAAATATCACAATTTTCTAAACTTATACTACATTAGGACCAAATTAATTCTACCTTTCATTTAATATTCTGTTAACGATAGAATCATCACAAATATTTGTCGTGAACTTTATGAATGTATAAATTAACAGATTTACGCAAGCTTTAATATATTTGCTTTAGTGTGTAAACATTGAGCAAGGCTTTTCATATTGTAAATTGCAGTTACTTAAAAATCCGTGACTAGTAAGCAGTGAGACTCGTTAGCTAACATTAGTCGCGTTAACTCGTTTTCAAGTATGGTTTTATGACTAAAAGTGGCTTTTCAGTAGGTACTTAATTAAGATCTTATTCATAATGATGTAGGATAATAAATAATAGCCCCAAAGTAATTTTTGCATTAAAGTAACATTTTCGTAATTTGAAAAATTGTCTTATTTTTCTTGTGCCATTATTATCATTTTGAAATGTAAATAGTTGAAATGTTTGTGCCCAACCAAATTATTTGTCAGCTAGTAAAGAGCACTGAACACAAGAAATTGATAAAAAATAAACTATAATTTGCTTTATTATTCCTTGTCTTTTATTTAAAATCTTCCTTTCTTCCATTTTAGTGGACTGTAGGCATATTTTATCTACTTTGTTCAAAGTTTTTAAAATTACTGCCCGATAAACCTAAAGACAACAAGCCCATGAACAAAAAATACCTGTGAAATGACCCAACGTGAATTACGCTTAGAAGGCTGTTACTATATCTGAAAATAGCTCTGAGCACTATGCCGTCATTTCTGAGCGGTACATGTGAGTACGTGAGTGAATGGACTTTCTCATGTACAATGGGGGAATTTCGACTAATTATTAATGTACGGCTTTGTTATAAGTGTATAGATGATTAAAAATAAATGTCGAAAAACTTAGTGCCGTACTAAAGTGATGGTACCGGAAGTCGGTGCAAATTTTTAATTCGACGACAGTTGCAGGAGCAATATAGGTCATTTATTACTGTACGGCATTTGTGTCATTCCTTTTGGACACATATACAGATACTTTACCCGTAAACGCCGTACATATTTCCAGCGGAGCGGTCGAAAGCCAAGGGTCGGAACCCTACCCCTACACCCATATACCCTAAGGTCATTGTAAAATGTACGGCAACATGTTCAAAATATTATTTAACACGGACAATAATGTTTTATAATTATGCCGTCCAAATATTATAGTTAATATTTGTGTAATTAAATATTTATCGAAATTTCAGGATTTACCAAGTTCTTACTGCTGTAAGATCAGAGAATAATGTACGGCAACTTGTTTTTTTACATAATGTTACTAAATATTACCGTTGTACATTATAGCCGTTCATTATAAATGGTAACAAATAAAAATATTATGATAAAAAATATATGAAATTTCCGAAATTTAGATGACTTTTCAAATGCTCCTAGAGTAATATGGGGAGTAATATTTTCAAAGATTATTGTTATTTTATATGTAACAAATATAAATAAACAAAAAAAACCAGATGCCGTACATTTTACTCCAGATTATTCTTTACAGCTGATAAAAACTTCGACGACGTTTGAGGTGTCCCTTAAGGTCATTAATAACTGTACATATCTGAGTATACTACCATAAGGCTGTAAAGTATATTTACAGCCTTATCGTACCAGCAGAGAGAGGTAAAGGAAAAATATTTTTAACAAAAATATATATAATACAGGGTCCCAAAGTTATGAGACATGAAGGGAAAGTACCTTAAATATCGCAGATAGGGTATTTTACTAAAAGAAGACTTTATGTTATTTATAAAAGTTAGTAATTCTGCATTCAAAGATTTTTTTAAAACTACTTGCCTCGTCTGGAAATCGAACCGGCTTAAATTTAAAAAAAAACACCCTACTTTTATGATGCCAATCGAAAGAATGGCCAAAACCTAATAACTTTTCTAAAGTAACAGACTCGTAGGGGATTTTTTTAGGCCGAATACGATAGATAATGTTTTTAATTTGATTAAAAAGATATATTCACGCTGTTCCTTTCTTTTAAAATACTATGTTACTTAAGAAGAGTTATTAGTTTTTGGCCATTCTTTCGATTGGCATCAAAAAAAGAGGGGGTGTTTTTTTTTACATTTAAGTCAGTTCGATTCCCAGACGAGGCAAGTAATTTTTAAAAAATCTTTGAATGCAGAATTAATAACTTTTAAAAATAACATAAAGTCTTCTTTTAGTAAAATACCCTATCTACGATATTTAAGGTACTTTCCCTTCATTTCCCATAACTTTGGGACGCCCTGTATTGGTAGGCGGTGGTAGCGGACTATTGAAAGTGTACGGCATTTATCTTTTATTGAAGATTGTCTAAAGTATTAATAACCTGTGTTATTGCCGTACAGATAAAAGTCACCGGAAAATGACTCTTTTCTGAGGAAAGTAATTTGCCCCATACACCTATGTGTTCCACAAAAAATGTACGGCATGCTGGAAAATGTTATCTATTTGTGAAGTACTCTCAAGATCATTTAATTTTATGTTGATTCATATCATCATCACCTATATGCTAATCAGACATATGTTGCGACCCTTGGCTTTCGACCGCTCCGCTGGGAATATGTACGGCGTTTACGGGTAAAGTATCTGTATATGTGTCCAAAAGGAATGACACAAATGCCGTACAGTAATAAATGACCTATATTGCTCCTGCAACTGTCGTCGAATTAAAAATTTGCACCGACTTCCGGCACCATCACTTTTGTACGGCACTAGGTTTTTCGACATTTATTTTTAATCATCTATACACTTATAACAAAGCCGTAGATTAATAATTAGTCGAAATTCCCCCATTGTACATGAGAAAGTCCATTCACTCACGTACTCACATGTACCGCTCAGAAATGACGGCATAGTGCTCAGAGCTATTTTCAGATATAGTAACAGCCTTCTAAGCGTAATTCACGTTGGGTCATTTCACAGGTATTTTTTGTTCATGGGCTTGTGGTCTATAAAGACAACTTGTTTAATAGTTGAGATTTTGTTAAGTTTATTTTTTATTTTGGGAGCGATATGCACTTAGGTATAATGTACTTTTTTCAATTTGATACCAGCGCCGGTACTCTGTAACTTTGCGATACCTCTATTTATTCCTGTATAGCGATATGTATTTTCAATGAGCGAGCAAATCGTAGCTCTCGAGGCTCATTCTTTCTCCCGATTCTGCATAATTCCGATTAATATCGATAATTTTACTAATACTACATTTTATAAATATAAAATTAGATTTGATATCCTAAAATCTATTATTATTACTATGAATGTGTGTCCCCGAAAGTTTAAATCGCGCAAGTAAGGTCATAGTCCGGGAGGTAGCGTTGCATTTTCGGCAGTGATTTTACGCCGACTATTTTCCTTCTTTCACGATTTATCTCGAAATACTTATAACTGAACCAAGCGTCAGCTGGCGCACCTGCGGTGGGTGTGGAATTGGGAGGTTTCGAAAGAGCAGCCGATTGTTGATTTCGTACTCTATATTTTTTGTAGAATCACGGAGTTAAATTTCATTCGGCGTATTATAACTTCATTTTACGTTTTTTTTCACAAGTGCATGCGGGCAGCTGACGCATAATCCCCCCTCAACGATGCAGCTGATTATTTTTTTTTTTTGCTCAGTATGACATTAACTATTCATGGAACAAGTTTCAGCCAGCGTATACTATTACTTTATTTTTTTATTTTTTTTACCTCTTTCACAACCTCCTACCCCGCACCCACAACACAACGGTCGGTTCACTTATTAGTCATATAAGATCAACTGTCGATGTTAGTATCAGCCGGCTTACTATGACTTTCGCATTTGCAACGCTACCTCCCGGACTATCAAGAGTTGAGAACAATTGCTACGCAAGAGAGTTGGCTAATCAAATCAAATCAAAAATCATTTATTCATGTAGGTAACACAATGTACACTTATGAACGTCAAATAAAAGAAATATACATTAAATGCTTCTAATTTTACATTTACTGCCAGTTCTCAAATCAAGGGCATATAACGGAAGAGAAGAACTGGCAATAAACTAATTGTGGATACTTACGAAAGTAAAACAAACGTCTAATAAGAAAAAGAAACCTTGCGAAAGGTGTGAGAGACGAATATAATAAAAATTTCGTACGAAATTTTAACTTTACAATGATAACTGTTTAATAACTTATATAGGGAAGTCACTTAGGTCTTCGTTACAGGTAATTATTGCAGATGGTTATTTTATTAATAATGTGTGTTTAGTAAACGGTGGTACCATCAACGTTATATTGGTAGTTTTCCAATTACAGCACAATGCGCTCATTATGCGGCATAATGCTCAACGTTCAACGTTGAATGTTCCAACTACAGTAATATATATATGCTGTAGTACAGCAACGCTTCGCACAATTGAGCACTCTCAAAAGTAATGCTCTCGCGTGATACTCGCAATCATTACCAACACAGTGACAGAAAATTTACTAGTGTTTTTTCTTTAAGTTGGCATTGATCGAAATTTTGTTTAAATATATTATCGTTAGTAATATTATTAAGGCTTTCGTTTCGTCGTTTCTCAACTATGTTTTCGTGGCAAAGAACATATTTATCAAGATGAAGAAGACGACACAATCTTATTTGTTTATAATTACGAGAATAAAAATAAAGAAAATTACTCAAAACGTAAAAATTTTTTAGTGAAATAATCAAAATCCAAATTACTTAAAATAAGCGTAAATAGTTTTCAACCAATTATTATTGTTTACCACGTTATTTATACATTAATGAGGTTGCTAACTCTATTCAGAACAATTTTTTTTCAACTTAGCGCACTCTGCTGATGCATTTGAAAACTAATTCACGTCCCAATTAAGCTTCAGCATAATTCGGCATTGTGCGCCACTGACTCGCATTAAGTCACGTATTCATTAGTAAACATTTGTTGATAAACTGTTTATGACTAGCGTTAAACAAGTTTACAATAAACACATGTTTCTGAAACTTGGCCGTCCGGCGTCCACACTTGTCAGTTGTTCACAGGATGTCGCCCGAGGAGGTAGTGATGCTATCTGCTGCTTACATAATAATTCACAAAAGCGTTAATCAAAAAAAAAAAGAAGAAAAGGTGGTGGATTCGAAACTATTTGTTGAATAGAAGTTATATATTTAATGACCTCCGCGGATTTGATGGGTCATTTCAGAACTTCACCAGAATGTCACCAACTGATTTTGAAATGTTATTAAGATTGATTGGACCATCAATAAAAAAAAATGAAACGAAATTTCGGCATCCTATTGAGCCTCAGAGAAGACTACTTGTTACTTTAAGGTTTCTTGCAACAGGTGACTCATATGGCTCACTGTCATATTCCTTTAAAATATCAAAACAATTGATCAGCAAGATCATACCAGAAGTTTGTAAGGAATTGAATAATGTTTTAAAGGACTATGTAAAGGTGAGTAAAAAAAGCGTAATCACAAATCAGTATAATTATCAAATATCTAAATCAAATTTATTTATTGTGTTCGAAATTTGGTTGTTGGACCACACTACCTCCATGTTTATAAACCTGTTGACTTTTGTTTATAAACTAGATGTTTCGTAGTGGGGAGCACGGCAACACGTATCATAAACAATGTTTCATCACCTATGTTTATGAACTGTTTATAAACTGTTTACAGAGAAATTAAGTGAGGGCCAGCGGTGGATTCCAAAAAAAAACAAAATATATTAATATTACTTTAATTAATTACTTTTACAAATAATAAACTTAACTAAATACAATTATTTAATCGGCCCGATATTAGGTGCACGATAAATATATTATATAATAAACTTAACTACTTGAGACTTGACCGGTCCGATATGAGGTATCCGATCAAAAAGCTATTGGTTCTCTTGTCCCTTTCCTTATATATAGCGTAGTTTCGTAAGAGGTGACTTGTATTGGGTATGCGGGGCAAAGGGAGTGCAATGAATATGTAACATCTCCCCCGTAAGATGAGCAACTATTTGCTATTGATGTCTATAGCAAAAGTTGCGGCTCGAAGTTCTTGCGCAGACATGTTCTTATTATCCGTTTTTGAAATCGGTTTCGAAGATGTATTTCGGCGATATCGGAGTACGAAGAAAAGTACAGCTGCGCCCAGGAGTGTGGTCATAGCGAAGTACAAAGGAATCGTTGTGTGGTATATTATGTTTGATGAATCATATGTTCCCGCCGGTGCTTTCATTGTAATTCCATTTTGCATATTGTGTAACTTCGTGAGATCGATTGAATTAAATTGGACTTGGTTGATTTTGTTGAATGATGTTGTCCATTCGAGGAAAATTAATGATTTCGACACCGCTTCCTTTAACTCGGTCGTCGATGTTGGTGGCCGTAATTTTGTCTAGTTCCGTAAGAGCTTCTTTATACATAGTAATAGGCGTTGAGGAACATGATTTGTCTATTTCTTGAGAATGAATAATTTCGTAGATGCAGTCCTTTTTGGTCTTTATTTGATGACGTAGTTTTTGCTCGCATATGTGCCACCTGTTGATCTTCGGACATTCTGTCTCTATGTACACAAATTCTTTAGTATTAGTTGCTACATATGGATAGGACGGGATAATTACCTGAGAATGTATATTAGGTACAGGACACAATCGATAAAGTTGGAATATTGAAGGTAAGGTAATAGGAAAGCTAAGGACAACCACTATTTTCCTGTCTATATAATATGAACCTAAGCTAATTATATCATAAAAGTTTCTTATCTCCAAATCTAAAATTTGATCTGTGCCATACAGATTTTTTAATTTTCTTAACATTATTTTTAAATCATTAATATTTAATATAGAATGGTGCAAAGACATAGTGCGACTAAAAGCTAATATATTTTCTATTCTAATTATCTCATTATATAATTCCTGCACGTTATCGCTTATAATGTTGAATATTAGCGACAGGCGGGAGTATCGAATTACGCTTTGATTGTCCGAGTTAGACATGTTTATTATATAGTTAAGGGCTTTACTTAATTTTATTTGATTATCTGTTAAATTATTCAATACTTGAGTTTGTTGTATGCTATATTCTTTAAAAAGTGAAATATGTTGATTAAAACTAGAACTTAATTCTTTATTATTCGATTTTAAAATATGAATAGCTGTCTCATATCTCAGAGCGTCATTATGATCGAGATTCCCAGAAATAAACTTTATAAGAGTACCCAATGGATTAATGATGCCTCGTTTAACCCTGGAGTCGGGTTCGAATGATTTTAACTGTAACATAACTTTATTTAATTTATTATTAATATAGTCGGTTTGGCTCTTGAAACGTAATGAGTAACCGTTCGGTAGTCTATGAATAGTTTCAGTCAATTTTGTCTGCAAGTCAAGTACTTGTTGTTCTATTAGGTCTATGTTAATGTCTTTCAGGAAAACATGATGGTGAGAAATGATTTTAGTATCTCCTAATTTAAAGGGAAATAAGCCAGGTCCATTGTCAAGGCTGTCAAGTCGAATTTCTTGCGCTTGGGCTAGGGTTGTCAGAGTCAGGATTAGGTACCTGTAACAAAGTAGAATCTTTATGTGTCTTTTGTCGTTTTAATCTAGATTTTGCTACCGGTCCGCGTCTGCGTGAAGTATATATATATATAGGTAAGTTAGCTATGACTTTATCTTGTGTATAGCGCGTGGCTAGCTTTTGTCTAGCTGCCATCGGATTTCGTACATATATCTCTTGGTCGGGTTCATACTGTACTTCGGGTTCTCTGTGAGTATTTCGTTGCGTCATAATCGCTTCGCGTTCGGCGAACGATGAGTCATGTATAAGTCGATATACTGTATCCATTTTACTATGATGGTTTTGCATATATTGTTGTAATAAACGTTCGGATAAATTTAAATCAGTGGGGTCTCTTGGGTCGTAATGTCCAGTGATTAAGTCATAGGGTCTACATTTAGTTAAACTATGTATGGAACTATTATATGCTAAAATTGCGTAAGGTACTAAATTGGTGGCAGATTCATTTTTATGTTTTAATTTTAATATTCGGAGATGTTCTAAGAGAGTACTATGGAAACGTTCTACCATGCCGTTTTCATTTGGGGTATGTGCAGCGATCTTATGATGGTGTATTTTGTGAAGACGTAAAAATTCAGTTACAACTTGATTCGTAAACTCGGTTCCTTGGTCAGTAGTCAAGGACATCGGTGAACCGTGATGGGTGATGAACGTTAGCAATGATTTAACGATATTAGGGGCTGTACAGTCGCTTATACGATACGCCTGTGCATATCTGGAAAATGCGTCTATTAAAGTTAAATATTTTTCTTGTTCTATAGTTAATACATCTACATGTAGCATGTCAAAGGGTTTTGATGGCGGAGGTACAATTTTAAACTGTTGCTGTATTGGATTGCGATCGTATTTCGCACAATTACATACTGAACATCGATTTATATATTCTGTTATATCTGATTTCATATTAGGCCAAAAATAACGTTGTGACAAAGAGTTATATGTCTCATTGATACCACGGTGGTTGGTTTTACCTTCGTGATATTTCCTAATAGTATCCTGTTGGTTTAGATAATCTGATACGTTCTCAGTCTGCCGTTTGACGAGTAATATTTTCATAGAGGAACTTCTAAAAGTTCTTTGAATAATAGGAACAATATGAAGCATTCTATCTATTGGCTGGACTAAAATTGCTGTACGGATATTTGGATCAACATATTTTTTAATAAGGTCGATAGTTCCTTGTTCTAGGTTGTCTACATGAACTTGAACTGAAATGAGAGAGAATTTTTCGAATGGTTTACTAATGACGGGCTTCACTCTAGGTAAGTGATTAACTATATTAATTAATATCTGTCTGCGGAATTTATTTAAAGGGTCATCGCTAATAGGAATCTCAAGAATGGGATTTTCAGAGCTAGTATGAGCGGTTTCCGTATGCGACGAACTTTGTGGTGATTGGAATTCGCGTGTTTCAGGTGCTGTCAGAGTGGATGAGGAAGATTTGCTATTCTGTGAGGCTGCTGTAAGTGTCGATGAGGTACTATGACGACGCGGGTCCCGTGACGTATTAACTATTAGGGACATAGCTTCGTCATTATGTATTTCAATACGCGATAGCGCGTCAGCGTTCGTATTACACTTACCCTTTTTATATATTACAGTAAAATCGTACTCTGCGAGTTTTAGTTTCCACCTTGTTAAACGGGAATTTGGCTCCTTTAAATTTATAAGCCATTGCAAAGGCTTATGGTCGGTGACAATTCGAAACTTACGCCCAAAAGGTATGGCCTGAAATACTTAGTAGCCCAAACTATGGCTAATAACTCTTTCTCTATTGTTGAATAATTTTGTTCACTAGTATTTAGAGTCCTGGATGCGTATGCTATGGGTCTATCGCTACCTATTGAACCTTGGGATAAAACGGCTCCTAATGCGATATTTGATGCGTCTGTCGTTAGTATGAAATCTTTTGTAAAATCGGGGTACTGTAGGATAGGATCATTCATTAATAAAGTTTTGCAGTGTTCGAAACATTTGATATATTCCGGAGATAAGGTAATAGTAGCGCCTTTTTTTAGACATGATGTAAGAGGTTTAGTGATTTTTGCGAAATCAGAAATAAATTTTCTATAGTAACCTAATAGTCCTAAAAACCTTTAATTTGCTTTGTTGTTTTTGGTATGGGATAATTTGCTATGGCCTTGATCTTATCTGGGTTAGGTTTAACACCTTCGGTCGTAATTATATGACCTAAATAAGGGGTTTCTCGTTTAAGGAATTCGGATTTATCCATTTGGATTTTAAAGTTAGAATCTCTTAAGCGTTGAAATACTTCTTTAAGATTAGTCATCATTTCCTGAAGGGAGGTACCAAACACTAAAATGTCATCGAGATAAATTACACATATTTTGTTAACTAGACCTTGAAGAACATTGTCCATAACACGTTGAAAAGTAGATGGAGAATTTTTTAGGCCCATGGGCATTCGAAGGAATTCGTAATGACCATGCTCTACGCTAAATGCAGTTTTGTGAATGTCTTTGGATGACATCTCCACTTGATGGAAGCCACTAGCCAAATCTAATGTACAGAAATATTGGCATTTACCTAATTTATCTAGAATGTCTGTAATATTTGGAATCGGATACTTGTCGTCAATCGTTTTATCATTTAACTTCCGAAAGTCAATGACTAATCGCCACTTAACTTTTCCAGATGCGTCACTTTTCTTTGGCACTATCCATATAGGAGCACTCCAAGCGGAGGTAGAAGGTCTAATTATACCTTGATCTAACATGTTTTTCATTTGATTTTGAACCTCGTCACGATGTATATATATCTATAGGTTTTACTATGAACAGGCAATTCATCGGTCGTATTAATACAGTGTTTGATTTTATTAGTAAATGTCAAAGGTTCGTGTTCAAGATGAAAAATGTCTGAATACTGTCTACAAATACTTTTTATATTAGCTGTCTCCTCTGCGTTTAAATGATCTATGCGCAAACGCGATAAGACGTCGCGAGCTCGGGCATTGTTATTGAAAGTATCATATGACACTTGTTCATTAAATATATTAGCTTTAATGGGTTCCGTTAAAGAAATTATAATATCACTGT